TCAGTGGTCCCTAATTTACTCATTTGTTTGTCTGGCTTTGAGAAGTTGAAATGTCTGTTGTCAACTATGAAGTGTTTCCTAATCAAACATTATTCAAAAAACATCACAATAAAAACGTAGGCTACATTTACATTTACATGAGACCTGTAACGTGGTTTAAGTTGTTACCTTGAGAGCGTTATGCAGGAGAGTAGCATCATATAAGACAGATGGGGTCATCAGAGCCACAATAAGACTCTCAAACAGTCCACCGAGCTCAGATTTCAGTGCGCTGACCAAGTCCTGTGGTCAAATAATTAATAATAATGAGAGGAGCTAAAACAGTAATAACAAGATTAGTAACAGTGACATTTATATAAAGCACACCAGATCCCAACATTAAAACCAGAAAAATAAGTTAAAAAACACAAAATGGCCATTCAGGATCTTAATGTGAAGAAGATGAGGGAAAAAAATTACATCTCACTGCTTCGCTTACACTTAGAGTATTCAATGTAACCTGCAGAAAAGGAAAATATATTTACTTTGCAAATTACTCACAGCTGGCTTTGTCTAAATTGTTTTCTGCCTCCAATCATTTGTGCATTGCAGGAACCAAATGAACAACAGCATATACCATTGTTATTTGAGTATGTGGCTCTATTTGCATACACAAAAACACCCACAGCACTGTGCTCATCCAAGTGCTCCTTGGAGAAGTCCAGAAATCACAATTCTAGCTGAATACATTAGACATTAAGCACAAATCCCCCATATTTCTGGATAACACAATCCATCTATTTGTTCTTTTTTGTGTGTAGAACGAGTTAAATTTAAATAAATCAGACTAATCCAATCCCAACAAAGAATGTGGAAAAAAGAAATAGACAGAGGATGTAATATTTTGCTCTGTTATATAGAAAAAAGTAGACTCAGGCTACAGATATTTTTGCAGTTGAGCACAATTGTGTAATGGCGTCATTACATTTTAATAGATCTCATAAAGATTCTCTGCAATACTGAGCAAAGCAAAGAGTCTCATGTTCTGGGTCATTTTGATAAAACACTGTAATATACAGAGCTATCCCTGGAGCTGCTTTGTGATACATCTATGCTCTCTCAAACTCCTCCATCTACTTATACTTGAGGCAGAAATCAAATTAGCTTTCAGCTTTCAATCCACAGGTGGGCATAAAAACTCTTCACTGTGTGACAGAACAGTGAGACTATGAATGCTTAAAATTCTGTCTAACTAGCTGCACTGAATTCTGCTCCATAGAGACTGGGGACAACTGCCCTTCCTGCCACTTATTTGAGGTTACTGTTCAGTCTTGATCCAAAATCTTGCCCTTTAAATCACAGACTTAATGTTTTTGGCTGCCTTTTTGCTGTTAAAAATTGTTGAACAGAAGACAGCCAATGGTGAAAACCCAGCAAGATTCTATACTTAAGTAATATAACAATGTGAAAAAATTACAAGCAAAGGTCCTGTATGCAAAATTTCACCTAGTTAGGTGCACAAGAAGCAAAGGAAATGTTATAAGTCATTAGGATTTATTCCTCTATCAGTTGTACCTGCTCCCTAATTGATGAAATAGGTGTTGGAGAACTCATCCAAGGAAAAGCTCAAAACTGTAATCAAGTGCAATATTGAGGTCTTTACTTAAGCTTATTTGTTTGTATTTTGAACATAGCTAATTCATTCTTTAATAGCTTTAAAATATGACTCTGACATGCTAGTGCAGTGCTTTGCACTGTCACCTCACAGCAAAAAGGTCCTTAAATTCAGGCTAAGGGCTCTTTGTGTGGATTTTCCATACGTCCCAGTACTCTGATTTCCTCTCACAGTCCAAAGACCTGTTTTTTTAAATTATTTTTAGTAAAAGAAAATAAATTAGTAAAATATAATGACTGTAAATTGCCTTCAGGTGTGAATGATAGCTGGAAGCTACGACACGTTGTAGTCCCCTGTCAAATAACACAGAAGCCCCAAGTACCTGCTGTTCAGAGTTTTAGTTTGTGAGGGGCAGCCAATCAGAAGACAGTTACCTTAAAGGAAGAGGAGCTAAACCGTCTTTTTTGAGACAGAGAAAGTAGTGAGAGGTTGCATCAAGGCCCAATTTGACATAAATAAGGATTATTTTGAGTTGTGAAACACACACAGCTGGAGTCTAAGACTAAATATACTGGGCTGGAAATGAGCATGAGAAGTGCACGTTAAATATACAATTCTTGAAACAGTCAAGATGTTGCACATGCACAAACCTACTGTAGACAGATACTCATTTCTGGGCTTATTACTTGTGAGCCCCATAAATGCTTCTACAACACAAAAGCATTTATGGTGCAGCAGGGTGGGGAGTCACATAACAGCTGACAGTGTGCAAGAGGTGGGGTACACTCATGACAAGACTAATACATCCCATGGTGAATGCAGAAAGACAGACAACTATTCACACTCAGTGAAACACCTGCAGCATATTTAGTAGGATGATATATTCTCAGTCTTCAGTGCCTGAGGTGAAGTTGACCATCAGCCAGGTTGGTTTTGTGAAGTGAGGAATGCAGAGTGGATGGCACGACCTGTCATTGTATATCAGTTCTCTGTTTAATTCCTAGTGGCTCTTCTCACCTTTCCGTGGGCCTTTTTATATGCTGCCTTAATTTGCTGGCGCTGATCATTGCTGCGGGATGTAAGAAGCATGAGGATGGCATCTTCATCTGTACCTGCACCAGAAATCATATAAACCTTAAATAATGTGTGGAAAATGACTCTGAAATCATCTGCAATGTGGGTCAAGACAAAAGAAGCTTTTCATTTCAAGTCTTTCTTTTTAAACACAACACAAATCCCTATTATGACAGCTTCCAGTATATCGTAACCTAAATGAGTCAGCCTGTTAGAGCATGAGATCAGGATTAAAAAGGATTGGCATGGCAGATGATCTAACAACCAATACCTTTCTAAAGTCACGAGCACCTTAATAAAAAAAAAAAAAGGCTCAGAGAGGCAAACAGGCTGAAGCAGCTTGTATCATTTTCACTCAGGGATCAAATGTTAAATTAGTGAAAGGTAATTATGGCACAAAGCCCAGCTGATCTGCAGTGACAGCACTGACTAAAGAAATGTACTTAAGTAGTGCAAGTCTGCTGTTTCAAGTTTGAGTCCACAGTGGTTTGCAGACAGGGAAACCATTAATTAGATCTAATGGTTCTGCTCGTACTGGTTATAAAGTGTTAGGAAAAATAATTTACAGTGTTATCGCTTTCTCTCTCTGACACACGCGTGTGCATGCATGCACACATACATGCAAATACACACACGCACACATACAGAGCTTCTGAGAAGTAGTTCCAAAAAAAGAGACTCAGACCACAAAGTACTTGTCAATTATTTTTTTAAGCTTCAGTTTGAATGTTGGTGATACACTAATTGGTAAAACACACTAGAGAAATGAAATG